TCAGGGGCTGAAAAAATACGCATAGCACTGAAAGAAATGGTTGGTATAAAACTGTCGTACATATGGATCATTGTCTGGAAGTTTGCCGCTCCTGCAACGAGCCTGGTGAGTATATTTAGTGATGAACTGTGGACTTGTACAATGAAGGCTCTACTAGAAACGACATAAAACTCATTTTTAGCTGCTCTTCTTCTTCTGCTTGATCTACTACCATCCGCTCAAGTACCCCACCGGTGAAGACTATCCAGTATGGGCTAATGCCTTTGGATGGTTCCTATCATCATGTTCAATGATCGTAATTCCCGGATATGCATTATATTACTTATTATGCACTAACAAGCATATCTCAATCAAAGAGGTAATATTACATTGAACATGACAATTCCATTCAGTGTGAAGAAACATTGTAGTCAGAAATGAAGCATTTTCAGAGATTCCTAAAAGGAATTCGAGCACCCGACGTGCTTCATACAGGCAAGCCAGCAGCAACTGGTGAGGAAATGAGGTTCATAGATGAGAAACATTAGCTTAATTGACAGATCTAAAGTATGGTCTCCATTATATCTTGTTTGTTTTCCTATATTTTTTGCATGTTGAAATCATCGTTGTTGCTCTAACGTAACTATTCAATGATCTTCCTCTTTCAGCTTTTATCATTTCTCCGCTACATATGCTGTTTAATCGCCGAATCTCTGAAAAATATTGAACAGTTTGTTATATGAATAAGCATTGTATACAATGATACATATCACTTCTTTCACTTTATTGCGTGCCAACTTGATAATTCCTTTGAGTTTCTTGTCAACTTTTAGGAAGATATTGGTGCACGCATAAACATCTTAAAATCATAACTCAAAAACATTATAGTTACGTAGTCATAATAAATGTTTGTACATAATTTGTGATGGAAATCGATACAATTTCGTGCAAAGGTAACAAGCTTCTTAGCAAACATGAAATTTCGAAAAAGGATGCGACAAATTCTTTTTGAGTTATTCAAAGCGCCATCGCTTTGGAGCATTTTTCTACCAAGAGAGAATGGACGGACGTGGAAAAATAGTGCAAAAAAAGAGTAAAAAGCAATTCGCTGTTTTCATAATTTTCAGAATCATAGCAAAGCCGAAAGATTGGTCAGAGCAGTTCTGATCGAAGCTAGCATAATAAAGGCGCTTTTGAGCGGAACGCATATATTCGCTGAATTTATGACTATTTCGGTGTCATTTGGGTTCTTTAGGTAGCACAGTGAGATCTGGGAAAGGTTGCCATATCTTTCATTTACGTTAGTTATAATGTTTCTCTCTGGCTCGCGTCTCTGATGCAAAAAACACACTTTCTTGTCTCATTCGTTATGCGCCGTAAAAGAATGACAAGCACTCACCTCCGATGATGAGTTGTGGGCTTGTGTGCGAGATCGCCTCAAAGCATGAGTTGGAAAGTTGTGAGCGCGAGACATCACATCTCTCGCAGAGATTCAAACTGTGAGAATATGAGAGTAATGATCTA